CTTTATATCACAATCTCCTCATTCTCCGGTGGTCTGCTCTAGGTAGGGGGACGGGGAGGGTGTCAATTGACAGAAAAGATTGTGGTTATGATGATGAGGTCTGCCACGGCTGAAACTGCATTGGAGGTCTTCCGCTTTGTCTGGAGCTAGTATAGCTGCATGCAGGCTATATGGAAGTAGGGAAAAAAGGAGAGGCATGTCTTACTAGGTTTTGAGGAGGAGAGAAGGAAAAGGCCTCTTTGCACGTTGGAGATTGGTCACATGTTGGCCGTGTGCAAAGATGTAAGTCGGAGTTATCTGGTGCTTTTGGTTGTGAACTTGACCAATTGATAAAGCTAGTTAATTGTCATGGTAGGAAGGTTTCACGCCTGCGGACGTCCATTCTGCCAGGTGTGGGCGTCTCCTGACATATTCCTCATCGGTTTGTGGTGGCTGTGGTATAATTAGTTGTCAGAGCAGTGCACTCGTTGGTTAGTGCAAAGCCATGCCAGAGTATCACAGGATTAGTTGGTGTCGAAGTGGTCCATTGTTGTCTGAAATAATGAATGCGAGGGTGGGGGTAAGGGAGGGGGCGGGAAGGATGGGGAGAGTGCCTTGCCTCTGTGAGTATGAAATGGGGTTTACTCTCATTGGTTTAGGCTGGCTCTCGAGATCCGTGTCATCTTTGAGGAACGAAAGGTTCACCGAGGCTGCCATCACTGTACCATTTCCGTCTTTCCCTTCCCGTTCCCTTCTGGTCGATCCCTAATGTCATGATAAGGCTTGATGGAGTAGGCGAGAGGCTATGATTGTGCACAAGGTGTCGTGCCATCGCTATACAGATGCAACAGCAGAAGATCTACGCTAGCTATAAATGCATTTGACGAGCGTCGTCTTGCAATATGCTGTACGGCTATAGCGAATAGTCTTCGTTGATGAGCAAACTTGGTCAAAATGGAGGATAGTAAAGGCGGCACAATTGCCATAATTGTTTGGGTCTTTTATCCTAGTACGTGCTCACGTCGGGGAAGGACAGCGTGGTAAAACTGTGGGAGCTGTCGACAAGTCGTTGTCTCATCAGCTACACTGGTGCCGGAACTTTAGGACTGCATACTCATCGCTCCAACGCAGTGTTCAATCACACCGAGGATTATGGTGAGTTTGGTTGCTCCTCACTTCCTCCGCTCTCGTTCTATTCCTATTGATGTTGCCTCGCTAATGTTGAGCGCTCTTCTGCTCTGCCCTTCATCCTGCATCCACTGCTTCCGCATTTGTTTCTGTGTGAGCGAGAGGCAGGACTTCCAAAACGAACACGTCAATCTCCCGAATGTTGCATTGTTTAATCTGTGATGGAGAGGTTTGTTGAATTTTGGTGGTATCACACTTTGTTGGTGAAAGCACATCTCCAATCCACTTGCTTGAAAGCTCGTTGGTGTTTGTTCGAGGAGTCTGCATCGTTCTAGTCCCTGTTGTTTACTGCCGTCGCATCACTTTTGCTACCAATCCTGATCTGTTTCGGCTTTTACAAAAGACAATTGCCCACCAATTCGACAGCATCCCATTTTAGCCGGTTATGTTACAGCATTCTGCTGGATCTTTCACGCATTTGGTTTCGTGTTGTAGTCCTTTTCCCGGATGAGGTGACAAAAAGTCTGTGCTGTTGGGACTCTCGCAATGCCGATCGTCAGCGTCTACTGCCACTGAGTGAGTAGTGTTTTCTCGTTGTTTTACTTCGTGATTTGGTCATTTCTCGACGGGATGTAGTAGGAGGGAGGTGAGTTCTCCTTCAGTGGAATTTTGACACCTCGGGATAGGACGTAGTCAGTGTTGTCAATTGTGGAACTTCTTATCCACTGCTAGCGTTTTATAGGTCACAACGGTCCAATTCGGTGTTTTGTGCATTCACCAACCACAGCGGCCTTCCTCTCCTGCAGTGATGACAATCGCGCACGATTCTGGTACAAACGACCCATATCTGATTAGCGTTCGCACACACACACACACACACACCCTTAGGCACCCACTTTTGTATCAAGCTTTTCAAAAAATATATATTTGTATCCTCACCCCGACGACTCTTTTGGCTTTCTGCCTGTGTGAGCTCGTGATGTCTTGATGCGCGGTACTGCTTCAGGTCACTGAAGGCGAACGCATCGTCTCTACCTCCGCCAATCAATCGAACCTAATCCGGCTGCTTGTGCACGAGTTACGGTCTTCACCTGTCCAATGCGTCCACTTTCACTGTCGGTAGCAAGTCCTTCATTGGACGTGGTCCTACGTTCCATTGGCACGACCAACTCGTCTGTCGTCAAACGATCACGGTTCGCGAAGAAAAAATGGAAAGCTGAGTCAAGTCCTAACGTCTCTACAAACTGCCATCACGTGAGTGACAAGACTTCGACACTGGCGCCTGATGCAATGGCATTGGGATAGGGGACAGGCAGTTCTAGCATTTACAGACGTGATGTCTGGTGGGACTGTCGAGAGTGCTGATGACTGACAAATGTCTTAGCGCAAGGTTAGCACTCGGTCTACAGCCCGCAGTGAAATGTGGCACCGTCTGAATTCTACACACTTCTCCTTAATGTGGAGTCATGTTGGTTGCCTTGAGGTGGTAGTCTCAAGCCATTGGACGTCACCCATAGTCAAATCGCCACACCAAGGAAAAAGTTGGTAACATTGGGAGTGTATCGCGACGAAGTAATCAACTTTCTCAACCCACGGCACCAAATTCTACTACTTAACTAGGACATGGGGAGACGTTTGCATCAAATTGAGTCGGTTGAACTGCTGTCTGAGGAAGCAGCTGGTTACTAATGAAGTCATTGCTTGGCAGTTTGATATGCTAGCGATCACAAAAAAGATATCCTTCTTTGTTCTAGAAAGAAAAGCTGTTGCATTGTGACGCGTTTGGGTGTGGTTTGAGGTGCACTTGGTAGAAGTGCAAGGCAACAGTGAGTGATTGATGGGTGGTACCACAAGAAAGCTATTGCCAAGGCGAAGCCTCCTGATCCTTCCATACTCTGATCTTGAGGAAGACGGCGCTCAATGGCGTTATTGCACTAAAAAAATGCGTCAGCTGACTCACCAACCAATTTTTAGCTTCGACGACATACGAGAAGTCATTGTGGTGGTGATTGAAGAGGAGATGTTTCGATTTAAGCCACACAGTACCATCAGTTATCCCTTAATCAGTGTCCACACCATCCATGCCGATCCCACCTCTCTGTCTCACCTCCATTCCACCAATCTTTTCCTTCTCCTCCTCGCCATTCTAAGACTTGCTCATCTGAATTCGACTGTCTGTGAGAAAGGGTGGCACTTGTACCCCCTTGCACACAAAAACCTTTTGGTTTCGTAACCGTGGGTGGTGTGAAGATGTGCAGACGCTACTGTCACATGCAATTTTTGCCTCTAACGCTGCACTGTGACAACAGTGGTGAGGGCTGTAAGCGACATCAAATCGTTACACTCGACAGGACTGAAGTCGATCAACATTCGATGAATCAAAAGAAGGAAAAAATCAAGTATTCATTGCAGGTGATTTACACAAATCAGCATGAATACAATTACGTTTTCTCCATCAATCAGCTTCATTCTCAGCTCCCACACCAACACCCACACACAGCTTGCATTTAATTGCATGAAGGAGTTGGAGAGAAGAGTGCTGTGCAGCAGACCAGTGGCTACCTAGAAGCTGCACAGCCACAACTCCACAATTACGCAGGCTATACTAATCATGAGATAAAAAAGTGGAGCTGAGATTTGCCATTAATTGGCGGTTGATTGTATGTGTGGTTACTTTGACGTCACCTTAATTTCCCCGCTCCTGCTCTTGGAAAAATGCATGTCGACATGTCACGAGAAAATAATCCGGACGCCTGATTCTACTCATCATCGGTTCACTTCGCTTTCTCCTTCCTTTACTTCCACGCGTTGCTTCCTACCAAGTTAACTTTACGCCGCTCTGGTGTAGGATTCACGCGAGGCGGCAAAGTAGCTGAAGTCTCTTGAAAGACCTCTTCGCCTTGTTGCTCCACCGCTGAGGAAGATCACGAGGCAGATGCCATCCCCATCCATATCAAGTGACCCTTACCACCTCCGTGATTTGCATCTTTCCAGCTTAGCATGACCTGAAGTGCGTGTTTTGAGGAGCAAAGTGTGCATTTTGCTCACCGGCAGGGGCTAAGCCGTGCAGACTTAACGCAACTCGGGAGTGGGGACGAGAGATGAGAACGCACCCAGACTTCCACCATTACCGGAGTCAATCGGGAGGTTGTGTAGACCCTTCAAAGAGGCAGAAAAACGCGAGTTGCATTGTGTGCTCATTTGTCCAGTTTTATCGGCCCTGATTGAAGGACACGATGACGGTATGAAAATGACACCAGCCATCGGTTACCTTCGTAGCTCGCATTCATCTTCCAAATGCTTGCACGACATTGTTCACATCATTGTGCGATTCATGGAATACCACGGCGAGTGTCTCAAGTCTCGACCTGCTGTCAATTACACCTTCCGCTCTTTCCATAAATCGCTAATAGTCCTGACATCGTAGCTAAACGGCAAGTCAACTCCTACCACCAGCTAGCAACGGGGGTCCCTGCACCCACACTCATTGCCTGGCAATTTGGAGCGGTGACATTGACACAAAGCGGTCTGCTTCCTCATACCAGCAAGGAAAAATCAATGCCACTATGGGATGGGAAGGGGCGCAGTTGTGTGTGGTGCAAAGTGCGGTTGGCGGAGTTGCACAACCACGAGGGGTGCTGATTAAAGAACACGTTGTTGCTGAGGCTTTCGTTGTAAGGAGGGTGAGAAGGTGTGGAGGTGTAATATTTAGCCTTCTAGGCGATCATGCGACCTAAACGTGCTTCAAAACCGGCACTTAACAATGCAAAATGAATTCGACTGCTACCACTGAGGCAACAAGAAAGTCCAGCATTGAGCAGTCCAACGGGCCCACTGAATAAAACCAAATAAGGAGCAGCTCCAAAACCTTTAAACAATTTGGAAAATTCAAATTTTAATCCGTGCCAAACGACCATTGATAATTGCGCACCCGTGACTTCCCCATGGGCACATATCAAAGGTGTATTTCAAAGTTGCTCATCGATGCTGCCAGTGGGCTGACTTGAATGCTGCCAGCGGATAATGGGCTGCAGCAGCCAATCCCTCCTTTGGCACAGATTACACTCCTACAAGCATCAATTCACTTTGACTTCACTGATTAAACAATGGTTCTGTGTCTTTGCTACTCCATTTTATTGCAACATAAAATGATTACTAGCAAAGAGGATTGTGTAATAGTTTGCCGGCACATAAAATGCCTAAAGGTCAGTGCATCGAAGAAAGAAAACGAAAAAGAGAAGAACGTCCGAAGTGGGGGTCGGAGAAAGGAGGAAGGTCTCACGTTTGCAGCGAAGGTGGGGAGAGTCTTTGGTAGTCCCTCATTGCAACACGCATCCTCGGGGTGTCCTAAAGTACCACCAACCTTGTTGTAACCGTAACGAACAATGAAGTTTGTAAATGCTCCTGACGATTGAGGGCAACTTAACCCCTTTCTGCTTGTCATTGACAGTTTTAGCAGCAGTAAGCACTGCACATGTTTAACACAAATTCAAGTACGTTTCCTCGAAAAGGTGTCAGCTTTTAGCACAAGCAAGGGAAGATTTCAAATGAAATGATGATAGGCATTTTTTGCACCCGCACGGCCATTGCCAGGAGTGAATGAGGCGGAGGAATTATGCGGATTGCATCGTCTGTTCCTCTCTTCTTCATCA